TATATATATATATAATGGAAAATCCCTTTATTGTCCCTGAATGGGTAAATTGTGGTTTAGAATAAGTGACAGGGTAAAAAAAAATACAAAAATGAAAGAAATGTAAATACTGTGCATCTGCAAAATAAATAATCAATACAGCTGTGGAGAGAAAAAGAGGGAGAGGTGCATATATATATATATATTTGTGTATACCTATATAAAAATGTTTGTGTATATAGTAATAAAATATATAAGGATGTAGGAGTGGCTGTGCTTTGCAACATGCACACATCCAATCAGAATATTCTATTTGTCTTAACCCCACTAAGAATATTTAAATACAATGAAATATTTGTTTTCAGCAACAAAAAAATAAACACAAATCCGTGAAATTTAGTTCAATATTCAGCGAGTTAAAGTAAATGAAAACTGCTCAACACATTATACTGAGTGGAGCCGTCGACCCACCCAAGATGTGAGCGCCCATAGGTGAAAGCGGTGGATGCTCCTACATCACGGTTAATGTTTGGCTAACTGTCAGACTGTAAACTAATGTGCAGCACACTTATTAGCAGCGTATTCACTGAGCTGCGCTGTATTTAAATCAACCTTTTATCTGCCACTCTGTTGTTTGCAGGTTGTTTTTTGAGCCGGTAACGACTCCATGCGGCCACACTTTCTGCAAGAACTGCATTGAGAGGAGTCTGGACCACAACGTGCGCTGTCCACTCTGCAAGCAGCCGCTGCAAGAGGTAAACCCCAGACAGACATCCTAGATATTCTCTACTATGAAATATAAATAATATGCTTTATGATCGTCTCATAAAGATCTTTGCTGCATGCGGAAACCCTGCCGGTGTGTATAAAACAATCAGAGCCTTTTGCTCAGTTTTAATGATTTTCAGTTATTGTTAGCGCTGCACTACAAGACTCCTGTCCTCTAGGTGGCAATAATGCACTTATTTTTTCCATAGTTTGTTCCACAGAAAAGATAATTTTTCATTGGAATTGACAAAATTGACAAAATGTGGATGTCTGAAGAAGCATCATAAGCAAAATGTTTTGTTAATAGCTGTGTTCCAATACTAATCAAATTTTGGAAACTGTGATTACGAAAATTAATTTTCTAAATGGAAACAATGCAATTTTTAAATATTTCACCTTTTTTAAAACAAATTTGTCAATTGTTCTATCTTTAAAAAATATAACTTGATCAGGACTTTTCTAATGCTCAATATTTAACCTTACAAAATACTTAAAATATTAAATATTATGTATGATTACTACTATGGGAAATGACACCCCAGCCCAGTAGATGGCGGTAATAAATAGCCTGTAGACTATGATGTGTTCACTTACGTCATGCGTAAACACAACCTGAGTCACAACCTTCTGCATGGAAACTCTGCCATACTCTTAACTTTTCACCAAACTCATGCATAATGACATTTTGAACAACAAATATATTACAGTAGGTAAAAAGTCCATTTATGAGCCAGCATGGCTAAGTAAAGCTATCACAACCATCTGTAAATTAATAAACCATAATGACAACTTTTTGATGAAATATCAGTGTCCAACAAGGGCGTAGGTTTGATTTGAACTTTGGTAGGGACACTATTGTTCTGATGTCATTGGTCCTATGCAAAAATAAGCTCGTTTTTTTTTTATCCTTGATGTGAAAATCAGGGTGTATTTTGTTTAAAGATAAAAGCAGCCTTTCTTGCTACATTTGTAAAAATGTTATAAGCGCTACACACTCTGGATGTTGTTTATCAGTGTTTGAAGCATCATCGGCTCCAATGAATGACGAATTATCACTTTTTCCCACTTTGGAAAGGTTTGCATTTGTACGGAGCCCCTAAAGGGACATGGAGGGAAAAAATAAACTTTTGCGAGATCCCGCAATACTTTTGCGAGATCCTGCAATAGTTTTGTGAGATCTCGCAAAAGTATTGCGCGATCTCGCAAAAGTATTG